TCATAGTCCTTACCACATCAAGACACCTACGCAGGGCTAGCACACAATGGTTGCTCAGTGTATCATCACATTCCCATTGCTGGCATAAAATACCCAACATCCACAATTTCACAGAGGAGAGATTTATTTTGGCTTACAATTTTTAGAGAATTCAATCCATGATCAGTAGGCTCCAAGGCAGAAATGACATGGCAGAGGCCATGGTAGATGCCACTCATGCCATGGTACCCAGAAAGCATTGAAAGAAGAGCCCAGGAATAAGAATATGCCTTTCCAGGTGATGTCTCTAGTGACCTACCTCCAACCAGCACCCCCCCCCAACACCACATCAGCTACTAAAATTATCAATGGATGAACCCACTGATGGGTACAGCACCCACATGACCTAATTATCCTTCAAACACATGACACTTGTAGAATACATTTTAGATCTAAACTATAATACTTCCTAAGTATATGTTAAATAAAAATGGTAAAATTTTTAAAAAATGAGCAAAATTTACATCAAGTACGTTGATCAACATTTTATAAAAAACGGCTTGAGCATATATTACACATGGAATGCTTTACAAGTAGCATTATTTACTTGGTCTTGAAATTAGTTCTTGGACTTTTGACTAAGATCAAGTGCACTCTTAGATGTATTTTTTTAGATGGGGAAAAGAAGGGTTAGAGTAGTTGGGTGATTTTGTTGCAGTGACACAGCCAGAATGTGAAGGAAGCACAACATAAACCAGACCTAACTCAGTTCAGTGAAAGAGATGTGCAACAACTCTTGTCATCAGAAATAGCAAATTCAAAAAAATGAATACAGATATTCAATTTAAGAAATGGAACTTGCTTTACAAAAGGTTTCATCGTATTTTATGTTAGTTTAACAGGGGCTCCTATTTACAGCTGAACAGTCATGTACGGCCTGCAGATATTTCTGTCAAAAACAGGTTGCATATTAAATGATACTTACCATAGAGCCCAGCTGGATACTAGGCTATTTAGGTTCGTGTATGTACAATCTATGATGTTTCACAAGACAAAATCTTTGATGCACTTCTCAGAAGGCATCCTTATCACTAAATGACACAGGACTGTATTACTACAAAACCTACTTTGTTTTTTAAACACTTTTCTAATTTAGAAAATAAAGATAAGGACAAAGAAATCATTCCAATCTCACATCCTATTGGAAACCAGTATAAAAAGTATAAAGTTTCCATGAAGGTAACGTATACACTGGAGTATAAAGTGATGAGGGTCCACCAATTAAGCTGCTCAAACCTTGGACATTAACACTGCACAGTCTGTGCCAGTCTGAAACCCAGGCTACCTTTAGCCAATGGATTGCAATGGCTCTCCATATGGTTACTTGGTGATAGTAAGTAAATTTTATCAGAAACTTTAACCTGACATTATATTTGGTCTCTTCACACCAACTTGCAGTTCACGCAATCCTGAACTGCATAACACTATTTAGCTTTCTTGTTTTTCCCTCTTAATTTTTGAAATCGTAATTAAGTATACATAGAACTTACATGTTAATGACTTTTAAAAATACAATTGTGTGCTACTAAGTACATTTATACTGTGCTACCCTATCATCAATCTGCACAATTCTTTTCATCTTGTAAAACTGAAATCTATATTCGTTATACAATTAATTCCCATTAATTCCTCATTCCTTGATCCTCATCACCCAGAAACCATCATTTTTTTTTGGAACTGGGATCGAACTCATGACCTCATGCTTGCCAGGCAGGTGCTTGTGCCGCTGAGCTAAATTCCCAATCCCTGAAACTACCATTTTGTTGTTTCAGTTAATCTTCTAGGTACCTCACGTTAAGTGGAATCATGTATGACTGTCCTTTTGTTAGTGGATTTCATGCAACCTAATGTCCGCAAGGTTCACCCACATTGTAGATGGCATGTATCAGAGTGTTCTTGCTTTTTAGGGCTAATCTTCCAGTGTACACCTAACAACACCGGATGGGACTGTTCCATGCCGGTCGATTACATATGTGCCACACCAGTGAGCTCAAGGGGGTAGGAAGGCAACACATTTAAATCAGAGCTTCCAGATAGCAAAACAGATGGTCTGTCGTGAATGTGCTAGAAAATAACATGTGAAAAACATAGTCCCTGGAAAAACTTGCTCTCTTTGCTGTCCTTAACATTGTAAGTGGGATGGAGGGAAGGATACCAGTAAGGATTCTATTGCAGGATACACAGTTTAAGACCAACAGACTTGGGTTTGAGGATGACCTCTGTCAGTTCTAGAGAGACATGTTATTCTCTGGGTCTGAATTACTTTTCCTATAACCAGCAGCAGCATCATACACAGTTGTAGTAAGGATTCAAAGTGCCAAGTGCTGAGTACATGGTTCCTGTACATATCTACTCATGCACAAATATGTATTGCCTGCTTGCTTACTTACTATGTAACAGAGTTTTGGGTGCTGGGGAAATAAAGATCTCTATGCTTAGGCTTTACATTCCACTGGAGGAAGAGAAGGAAAACAAAACAAATACCGCCCTGCCCCACTAAATTAGGTATACAGGTTTTAGATGGCTATGGAGACAAATGCTGCAAGGAAGGGAACGAATGATGTGGACCAGTGACCAGAGAAGTTGTCACTAAGGAGACAGTTGGGGCAAAGGCTTACAGAACACGAGGGAGCAAACCCTCCAAAAACCTGGCCAAAGGGTTCATAAGCAGCAGCAACAGGTAGTGCAAACAGCCAGGGTGGGTGTGTACCATTTGTGTTCTGGGTCAGCAAGAGGCCAGGGTGACTGGGGCCAAAATGGTCCTACTAGATCACCCGGCTTTTAATCGGAGGCAGAAAACTATTAGAGTCTAATATCATCAAATGGACCATTATTTAAATTTCTCAAGCTTTTACCAAAAAAAGTCTGTAGTGTTAGTGATGGATATAAATTTGTTCATGCTGTTTCCTATTTGAAAACTAGAATTATCTTTTTGTTTTTTTTGAGACAGGGTCTTGCTCTGTATTTCAGGCTGGCCTCAAACTCATGGCAATCCTCCTGTCTCAGCCTCCAGAGTGCTGGGATTACAAGTGTGCACCTGTTACAATTATCTTTTAAAATTTCAAGCAACCTAAGACATTTTTACTTTTGGACAACACTATCTACTTATGGCTAGTGATGATAAGCTAGCACACTGTTACAATTGGTACCTACAGCTCAGGAGTTTATTCAGTCAGACACAAAGAGAAAAGGGACAAGACATAGAGGAACTTCAAGGCTAATGGACACATACAAACAGGAACAAAAGCAATTAAAGCACATTGTATTAGGTACAGAAATCTCTCAGAGAAAGAGGGACACTGAACTGAGCCTTTAAGTGTATGTTTGGTGGGGGACAGAGAGAAGTAGGTCACTCTGGCAGAAAGGACACCGAAGCAGAAGAAATAGTTGAGGAATGGTCACATAATCTAATATGGTAACAATTTCTGCAATATGCAAGTTGTTTAGTAGAGTTAGGGCAGGGATACTGTTACAGCTAAAATCAGGATTGGCCTCATCATTGAAGTCTTTACCAACTATATTAAGAAGGTATCCTTTATCCAAGGAAAACAAAACCTTTGGAGAGTTTTAAGAGTGGCAGATGAAACTCGGCGTGATGGCACATAACGGTAACCCCAGCACTCAGAGAAACTAAGGAAGAACTCATAGGCTCCCTGTGAATTTGAGGCCAGCCTGTGCTACACCGTGAATTCAAGAGTAGCCTGAACTATTTAGTGAGAGCCTGTGTCAAAAAACTATAGTGGAGAAAAAAAGCCAAGAGTGATATTTAAATACGTACACATTTTGGAAGACTCATTTTGATAGCAGTGAATAGGAAAGACAAGACAGGAGTGGGCAATTTAAACATGTAAGGGCCTGCTCTAAGGCAGTGGCAGTAGGGATGAAAAAGAGGGTATAAAACAAATATGGTACATAGCGAGAGATGAAAATAGAATAGGACCTCCAGGAACACGGACCATGTTTCCTGCTATGTGAACATCTAGCTTATTTACCACTGGGCAAAAAAGCGGATGCTCAACAAACAGCCTGCCAGATCGAAAGTAATTGTCAAGGAATAGTATATCCTGGAAGACAGTGAAGTTTCAGGAGGGTATGATTCAGAGTGTCAAATGATACCGTGATCAAAATGAGGACTAACAAGAGTTCCGTGATTTAGTAAGTAGGTAAAAATAGAGCAGGCAGCCTGCTCTATCTATCGCTCTGAAGCTTATACTCAATATACAAACAAGAGGAAACTACTCTTCAATCGCCACGTTTAAATATGGAAATTCCGCAAAGCTAGTTAATTAAAGAGATGAGCAGATAATAACGCAGTCCTGTGGGACATACCCAGTCCCACTGCGTCGCACCACAGGGAGGACCCACGGGCTCGGGAACACGGCCTGGACAGCTTAACCCAGGGGGAGACACACGACCAACAATCATGCCATCTGGCGATAGGCTGGGCGCAGGCTTTCTGGGAATAGTAGTTTGCAGTGCCCACCTAAAGAGTTCCACGCTTCCCACCAACTCCTTACCTGAGCTCTTCAGCCGAATACATTCCGAAGGAAATGCCCTGCAGCCGCCGCCAGGGAATGTTCTTGGAGCCTAACATTCTCCAGATCCGTTTTGAGAGCAGACACGCGGAAAGAAACCTTGCACTCACCACAAGCTCTCTACTAACTCAGCCGCAAGCCCGGAACCATGTGATTCAAACTGCGCCTGCGCGCAGGAAACGCAGGCTGGAGTATTTACGTGGGCTAGACCACTTTTCTCTAGGGGGGGAAAAATTGCTTTTCAGAATTTTTGCTCCCTTTTATTTTAAAACTATTTAAAGATATATGAGACATTAAAATAATAGTTTTAGAAAATTTCTTCAAGACAAATGAAAGGAGTAGTGAACTTTAACTGCTGTAACAGTCTTTCCAACTATGATGTTGCAACCTTCCATTTCTAGCCGCGTGTTCCCCGCCCACTTTTCCCTCAATGACCCTAAAAGTCGGGGGTGTACTTTCCCAATGTGCTCTGCGAAGAATTGAAAGATGGCGGCTGCAGCGTTCGGCCGATGGTTGAGGTTCCGCAGGGGACTTCAGATCACGGGTCGGCGGGTAGCTGTGTGTGAACAGTCACATAGTTACAGGTAAGAGAAATTTCGGGAACCCATAAGGAAGACGTAGGGATTAATTTACTTTCTATCCTGAGAACTACGGATTTAGGCCGGATGATACAGTGTGCGTATGGGAGACCTCGCGGCCGCGTGTCCTCAAGGGCGAGCACATGGGACTAGGGGCTTGAAACACTTGAGAACAAAATGCATATGTTAGGCCGGGTGTGGCGACATAGGCCTGTAATCCCAGCACTCAGGAGACTGAGACTGAGGCAGGAGGGCCGCTGTGAGTTCAAGGCCGCCTGCACTACGTAGCGAGACTGTCTCAGAAAAATAAAAAAACCCACAGGTATGTAGTCACAAATGTATGTAGGGATACCCTTGAGTTAGAATTGCTTGCAAAACTAGGACCCTGCTCAGGCTGTCAACCCTGCTCAAGTGAAGCTTACATTCTAGTGAATGCGACAATTGCATCTCAAAAAAAAAAAAAAAAAAAAAAAATCCGCCCTTCTCATTTTAACCCAGTCGGGAGGAAGAAGGAAACACCAAAGATTTTTCCCAAATTAAGGTAGCCCTTGTCTGTCACTGTGGCGAGTGTTGTGGGTAATTTGGGTCGGGTAAATAATCAGATTCTCATAAAAGCGGAAGTATGACCTCCGCTCCCCTCCATATCCTTTAAATCTGTGGTAGGAACTTTAAATCTGTGCTTGGAACTTGTATCATCTGAGTAATTTTTATCACTGCAGGGTCCTTGTGGAGGTAAGAGAGCAGCATGTAGTTTTTTGTTTTTTGTTTTTTTTTTAACTTGAGGGAAACCTTACTTTTTAAAGTTTATTTCCATTTTTATGTTTTTAATATTGAGGATTGGATACATGACTTTTGCAATGAGTTACATCTGCAGCCTCTTTTTTTTTTCTTTTTCTTTTTCCTTTTTATTGGTACCGGGAATGAACTCAAGACTGCCTGCTTGCAAGGCAGGCATTTATGCCACTGAGCTAAATCCCCAGCTCCCTCAGCCTCTTTTAAAGTTTTGTTTTATTAAAAGACAGGGTCTCCCTAAATTGTTAAGTTACCCAGGTTGAGTCAAACTGGATATCCACCCAGAGTGCTTAGAACTACAGGTGTGAGCCGCTACATCAGCTTTTGTTTATCAAGTTTTTGGTGCTGGGAATTGAACCCAGGTTCTCATGCATGCTAATTACACACTCTACCACTGAGCAAAATCCCAGCCCAATGAAAACCTGATTTTAAATTCACTGTTGGTAGTGTTTGCCTTTTCCTCAGTTGGATGCTAGTAAATAGTTTTCAGTGGATAACCATGTGAGAAAATCGTAGGGAATAGGAAAGATGTATGGTTCAAAATAATTTATCTTACTTTCAGTTCCCCTCACAAGAAAACATTTGACCTGGTACTGCAGAAGTTTCTTCCTTTTTTCATTTTTTGGGACAGTCTTGCTACATAAATAGTTCAGGCTGAACTTGAACTCTATTGTAGCCCAGGCTGCCCTTGAATTTATGATGGTGCTCTTGCCTCAGCCTCTTGAGTGCTGGGATTACAGATGTTAGCCACCACACCTGGCTGCAGAAGCCTTTATGCAGTTCAATTCCAGTCGTCTTGTTCCTGGTTGTGCTTAGAATTGCCATTTATCTACCCACTTTCTTTGTCTGAAGGCAACATCCCTTCCTCAGCATTTTTTTTTTTTCAAAATAATGGTGTTTTAAGCCCTAATGTTATAAGACATACATAGCATGTTATGGAAGAATTGTTTCCTTTCTGAAATACCCTTAAAGAGAAGTTTTGTTTTGTTTTGTTTTTTAATCGGTACCAGGGATCAAACTCAGGGACCACCTGCTTGCAAGGCAGGTGCTTATGCCGCTGAGCTAAATCCCCAGCCCCAAGAGAAGTATTAATTGTTTTTATGTGGTTTTTTTGTTTTGTTTTTTTCTTTTTGAGACAAGGTCTCACTGTGTTAGCCCAGGCTGGCTTCCAATTTGTAGTGATATTTCTGCCTCTGCTTCCCACATAGTATTAATTGTTTTTAAATGATGCCAGAACAGCCAGGGACTTAGTTCAGCTGCAAAAGCATCTGCCTGGCAAGTGCGGCAACGTGAGTAAAGTCCTGGTAGCAAAAAACAAACAAATGAAATGATGCCTGAGGCTGGGATTATTGCTTGGCAGCACATCACCTGACTGCAAGCACAAGGTCCCGAGTTAGATTTTTGATACCAGACAATAATAAAATAAATGATACCTGAGGCTAGAATATGCCGGGACGTATTTTTCTGTATAATGACATGTCAGTCTTCTCAATTGTACTGATGCTTTAAGTGAAGAAAGCTGGTCTTTACTGTAGGGCATCCCATGCACTGACCTGAGTTATCCAGCCTGTTTGATTGATATTGATTGGAACATTTGTACTCGAAATGCATGTGAGTAGAGGTGAACTGGTAAGTTCACTAATGAACACTAGCTAAAGCTTTTATGTTTTGCAGATTTTATTCTGGGAATACAGCTCATCCAAAGGTTGAAGGAACTGATATAACAGGTACGTTAACTCTGGTGATATAATTCTATTTTTATCAAGATTTTGTATGTAGTAGTAATAATAGGAAGCTGATTTGTTTTTTCTCATTAAGGAATTGAAGATATAATCATTCCAAGAAAGAAAACTTGGTAAGTATTCGATTGGATTCATTCAGCAAGTGGTTGAGTGCTTATTAAGCAAAACATGGTGGTCTGGTCTGGCAGGAATCATTGAGAAGAAAAGGAATGGGAAGAGGGAGGAGGTGAAAGGTGGGTGCTGAGGAATTTCAAGGGCAAAATGGAGGAAGGTGGAGAGTGTAAGGAATAAGATTTATGTGAAAAGAATCAGGCATGGTGGCACATTGCCTGTAATCCCAGCACTTGGGAGGCTGAGGCAGGAGGATCCCTGCAAGTTTCAAATCCAGCCTGGGCTACACGGTGAGTTTGAGGCCAGACTGAAGTACATAGAGAGCCCCGTCTCCAAAAAAGCCTATGGTTCTCAAAATTTATCTTTTCACTCATTGGTTTGCTTGAACAATTGCCTTGTCTTACTTACTCAATGTTTGTTGAGTGTATAAGAAGTAAAACCTCATTGAAGTGCTGGCTAAATGATGTTAGTGAATACTAAGGCCTTTTAAATAAAAAAAGTCAAGTCTTAGAATTCTGACTATAACCTGAACATGCACATTCTTTTTCAAAAACTTTTTAAAGTTTTAGAAGAAATTAATGCTTATTGTCGAAAAGGAGGTGGGGTGGGGGATGGAGATTTAGCTCAGCGGCATAAGCGCCTGAGTTCGATCCCTGGTACCGATAAAAAGGAAGAAGACAAAAAAAAAAAAAAAAAGAAAAGGAGGTGGGGTAAATCTAATATGAAAAAAGGAAACAAAATTACTGACAGTCCCATCACTCAAAAGTAAATTGCTTGGTTTCAGTGGTAGTGTAAAGTATGACTGATGAGAGCACTTACCTCAAAGGGCTATATCAGCGTTATGAACAATATCACATTATAGCTTAAGTGATTATATTTACTATTTTTAGTCTTTGTGGTATAACCTTACCTATTTTTATATAAAGTACGCATACATGTTTAAGTCAGAATTGATTTGTCAGGTATATTATACTTTTAATACTTAGTATTTCATTAGCATTGTTACTTACAAGCCCAAACTGTTATCTGTCCTTTTACCAAAAAAAGGTACATTGGTCACTGGTACAGTGCCTCTTATTACCAAACTAAGGAATCTGCTTTCAGATCTGGAAGAAGTCTTGTGGGTCACAAATTCCTCCTTAGAGATCAAACACCCCCTCCCCGCCCCCAGTACTCAGGGCTTCTGCCCTGAGCTATAAATCTCGGCCCTTTTTAATTTTTTACTTTTTGAAAGTAGGTCTCACCAAGGGCCTATGCTGGGCCCAAACCTCTTTCCTTGCCATCTCAGGGTGCCAGGAATATAGGTGTGCACCACCACACCTGGTTTAAAACAAGCATAGGTTCTGGTTTGCTAGATCACACAGATGCCATAAAAGATTTTAATAATTTGTCCATAGTCTAAGTTTTGCAGTACAGATATGACTTGAAAAAGGCAGTATTTTGATTGAGTAAACTGTTGAGTTATTTTAGGGAAATGGGGGAGCGCAATTTTGGTCAGTACATTAGGCATTGGACTCAAAAATGCAGATTAAAGACTACCAGATTAGCAAGAAGGAGATGTTGAGTGGCTTAAATACATTTATTGCTGCGGCAGTAAATCATTAAAACTAGAGGGAAATTGGACTTAGTGAGAATTTAAAATGCATGTGCTTACTGCTAAGCTACATAAGAGGAACACTTGCAATAAACCCAAAGAGACGTAGATGAAAATGTTCTTCATAATTTAGAAATAATAACAATTTAAAATAGCCTAAATACTCATCAGTGAATAAATAGTAAAAATAAATGGTTATGTTACAATGTAACGTATGAGTAAGTCTTATGTGTAGTGATGTTGATGGTATAGTTGGACTTAAGTAAATATCGAGTGACACTTTTTATGGCAGTAAGTGTGTGAAAAAATACTGTTAAAAGAGCACCAAACTCAGAGTAAGGTCAGGTCACAGCTGATACTTTTAGCTTAATCCCTTAAACCTAGGTTTTTTTAAAGATAATATATTCATTATGATTTCTTTTTAAAAAACTGACATAATATGCAGTTTTTTCACGGGCATTTGTTTATGTTAGGAAGATATGCTAACTTGGTAAGAGTTATAGCTGTCTTGGAAATGGCAACACGTCTTTTTTTTTTAATTTTTATTTAAAGAGAAAACAAAACAGTAAAAGGGTACAAGTAATACAGAATTTCAAGAAAAAAATACACAGTAAGAAATCACTAGTTAATAGATTACATATTATCATCTTAGAAATAGTTCATATCACAAAATTAAAGCATACAAAGTGGACATTCAAACTGAGATTGCAAAAAGTTCTGTTCAATGATCCAACAAAAACTTAGTAATATGGTTTTCTATCTTACACACTTAAATATACATGCAGTTATATGGTTTAGATTACTTTCTTTTCCACTCTTTTATAATAACAATTATACATTTTGGGTTTTATTACTCCCACAGTTCTTATTTTTTTGAAGAGAATAAAACCAAATGTGACAAAGCAAAACAGAGTCAGTTAGAATAGAAGGATGGACATAGTACATGATGTAAAAACAATACCAGGTGATCAACAATGTTTACCATTATGTCTCTTGCTATCTTAAAAAAAGTTGCCTATATCATCAGGTATAATAGAATTGAACAAAACACTACAGAACAAAACCAATGAAACCTAAACATTGGAGACCTTACAAGACTTCAAAAGAACATAATAGTCAAACCATAATGGTCATCATAGTGAACCTTATTGCCTTCAAAGTGGTTGCCTGTACCTTCAAACTTGCTACTATCAAACAAAACAGAATAGAGTAAAATCAGTCAAAACAAGATGGGGAGAGCAACAGAGGGGTTCAAATCAGGTTAATAGGAAAACAAGAAAGTTACTATAATATATCCTGCTATTTTTTAAATTTATTTTTTCCCTTAAAAATAATTTTAAAAAATTAATTTTTAAAAAAAGGGAAAAAGGGGAGATTGAGATAGCAGAAGACATAACAGCAGAACAACACAGATTAGAACAATTTAAGCATCATAGTGTTTCACCACCAGATAACCTGACATAATAGTAGTTACCATAGTGTCTCTTTCCTTGAAATATTTGAGTATAACTTTATATACTATAGCATCAAACATATCAAGACAGTGTGAAACCATTCAAGAGAATGAAAGTATTACAGGGTATTTAGAACCAGCTAACAGAAAACGAACAACAGTTTCTATATTATCTCTTTGCCTATAAAAAAATTTTGTTTATACTATCACATATATTAAAATTAAGATACAACATGTTAAACCCAATGGAAACAGACGAACAACAGCTTGATGGGACTTCAAAACAAGATGATACTAAATCAGCACTAGCAAAATAGCTATTCATACACAGACAATAAAATCAAACAACCTAGATTAAAACTATTGATGAGTGAAAACATATTTCTTCAAACCAATATGATTGGGAATCATGTTTACCACATACTTTTATGTATTACCATTTCTTACACTAGGGAAACTATTTGGTATTTATACATATGAGTTTGATTTATTTCACTTATGAGTATGGTCTTAAGCTGCGCCCATTTATAAATACCTCAATGTGATCCTTCTTTATAGCTGAGTAGTACTCAGTTGTATAAAAATACCACAACTTTTTTATCCATGCCTCAGTTGATGGACACTTAGGTTGTTTCCAAGATCTGACTACTATGAATTATGCAGCTATAAACATGGGTGCACATATATCACTGTGGTATAACACGTTAAGTCTTAACAAAAGGGTAAAAACAGATTTTAAGCCAGATACCTCATTTGTTATTTATACTCTTTTGGTTAAGTTACAGTTGGATAGCTGACCTGTAGTGCTTCCCAGTGAGTTATATTCCGTTGAAGGGCTCTACACCAGGAAGGTGTACTAGAGTCTTGGGAAATCAAGAAAGATGCATGTGATAGTCTTTCATGGATCCTGGAGGCCGATTGAGTAGATCTGAAAGTGGAGCCTGAGTGTTTTCATCTGTGTCTGATTTAAGTGTCTATAATTTGGCAAGAGTAATCCAGAACCCACAGTAAGAAGATACAGGAAAGTGGATAGGAAGAGGGCAGCTAGGTAGTTTTTTTGAAGAGAGGGCAGGAATCACTCGCCTAGAGTGATGCTACTAAGGACCAGGCCAAAGAGTGCAGGCAAAGCACACAGGTGCACAAGTGAATAGTAACCACCTTCGGGCTAAAACTAGACACTTTTGGTTTTCTAACTTGTTACTAGTCTAGTGGGCCTGAGAGAATCGGTACCAGCCGAAGGTGAGTCTGAGCTGTTTCCGCCTGAGGCATTGAGGGTAGAATCACCTCTTCAATTGGTGAGGATGAAGATCCCTGACAAAGTTAACTTGTGATTGCTATTCCTAGGGATAAGGTGGCTGTTCTTCAGGCTCTTGCATCCACGGTAAACAGAGTAAGTAGGATTTTGTTCTTAGTTTTTAACTCGGCTCATAACACATTTAATACTTGTACATCTTTGGTATTCACAGTTATTTGTAATAATGCCTGTCCTCTCCTGCTTCAGCCTCTTGCAGAGTACTCTTGGTTTAGCACCTGTGGTGGTCCTGTAGCTCATTATTCTCTCTAGAATTCAATAGAAGAGTGGCTTCTAGTTACTGTAACTAGAGTAAAAACTGAAGCACTCTTACCAGGGCTTCTAGAATCTGTATGATCTATACCCCCATTACCTCTGACCATGTGCCCTCTTGGATCACTTGCTTACTCTGCCCTATCCACACTGGCTTCTGTTTGCTCTTTTTCTTTTCTTTCCTTTCCTTTCCTTTTCTTTTCCTTTTTTCTTCCTTTCCTTTCCTTCCTTCCTTCTTTCCTTTTCTTTGCTTCTTCTTTCCTTCTTTCTTGTTTTGGTACGAGGAATCAAATTCACAACCTTATGCTTGTGACTGAGTTATATACCTGGCCCATTCCCTGCTATTTCTCAGCAGGCAGATTCCTTAGATATACTTGTGTATTGTTACCTAATCTCTATAAGTATTCATTTTTTGAGATTTGCCACTAGCATTGTAAGCTCTGAGGGAGTGAAGACTTCTGTCTCTTGTCTCTGGTAACTAGAATATGGTGGTATACACAACGCATTTAGTGGTAAATGAGTCAGTGAGCAGTGATGATCGCAGTAGGAGAGAATGGAACAGGTGAAGTGTATTGAGGAGCAAGGATTGGCTGAACCTGAAAAGAGGTCTCTGCAGTTCATTGAGACAGTGACTGATGGTAGACTCTTGTCTATGCCAGGGAAGTTCAGTTGGAGCATCTGAGCTATGGGTCCCCACAGAGGATTTAGGAGTCACTGAGAGAAAAATTGGGAGACTGAGAGGAAGAGTGAGTGTAGTAAGTCAGAAGGAGGTGAGCATGTCACCCAGAGCAGAGGCTCAAGCTGGTGTCGTATTAAGTAACTGTTGAAGATCAGAGCCAGACTTGAATAGGTTGAGAAGCATGCAGGAATAATCAAGGGCAGTTAATGTAGAACTGCTGTGTCTGGCTTGCTTTTTTTTTTATCTGCTACATCCCCATAGCTAGTGATGCAGCCAGTTTGGGCTTCACCTTTTGCTCCTGCTGCCTCAGCCTCCCTGGGAGCTGGGATTATAAGCATGTACCTCCATGCCCTTCATGTACAGTTTTAAGAAGTGGAGGAATGTTTGCTGTTTGCACCTAGAGGGCCCAGTATTTCCTCTATTTTTAGGAAGGACTCTTAGATAAAATGGAGCATGGATGGGCAGTGGTCAGGCTTTGAAGGAAATCTACTAGAAACTACTGCCAGGATTAATTTAGAGACTCTTTACCTAGAGTTGAAAATAGCAATAGTCATCACTGAAAGGAGACTGAAGTCTTACGAATCGGGCACAGGAGTGTCAAGTGTTACTTAGTTCAGTTGTGCACAGTCATAGGCAAGTCTTGCAGGATGACATATGGTATCAGTATTCATACCTTCTATATCTTTCTCTCACATGTGTCTGTCATTTATATGTACACATAAATCTATATGTTCTTGAATGTAAAATGCATAATTAAACTATTGTACAGAATTTGTGATAATTTACCAAAACTCATAAGGTCTTAATACAAATATAACCTAAAAGATGTTTCTTCTCTCCACAGGATCCCACAGCTGTCCCTTACGGGTTTCAAGATGATCCATACCTCATACCAGCGTCTGCTATGGAATCTGTAAGTGTTTTCATGTACATTTTCTAGGATTTGTTTATCTTACTGGTTTGACTATGAGAATACACACAATTTAATTGTGAAAGCCTTTGAAAAGTTTATAAATGATGACATTGGTAGACGTTGTGACTCCTTTACTGCTTTTAACAGATTTAGAGATTGTCTCTAGAGTTTTTGGTTTTGGCTTTTAATATTAGGGCTTCTTCACACTGTAAAAAATTATTCAATTAAATGTATTTTTGTATACTTTGATCCATATGTGACCTGGAATTATGTCACTCAAGAGCTGGATATGTGACATACAGTGATTTCTAGTTGGGATTGCATTTTGTGCTACATTTCTTTAAAGAGGAAGAATAATTTAGATTTAAATTTTAACTTTGCTTGAACCTAAATTACACTTAAATGACTATTTGTATCTAAATCTTTTTTTTTAATAGCGGTCATTTTTATTGGCAAAGAAGTCTGGGGAAAATGCAGCAAAGTTTATTGTTAATTCACATCCCAAATATTTTCAGAAGGACATAGCTGAGCCTCATATACCGGTAAGAAATAGTTTCACTTTTTTACATAATCCTATCGAAATATAAATGAAATCCAGTTTTTATGGTTACATTTCAGTAGCCATTTGAATTCTCTTAAGGCACATGCCTGCACACTTGGGAGCCAGAGACAGAACGATGGCTGTGAGTACAAGGCCAGCCTGGGCTTCATAACAAGACCTTGTCTCAAAATTTAAAAAAAATTTTTAAATAAAAAGCACTAACCTTTTAAAATCTTTTTTAATCTAATTGCTCTTCCTCCTGTTTGCCTTTTTGGCTTCCATGGCACTATACTCGTGGATCTTGGTCTCCATGACTTTTCCTCCTCAGTCTCTCTTATAGCTGTCTGTCTACTCTTGCCCAATGTCTTCCTTAGGTTCTCTTGCTAACTTTCTCTTTAAATTCCTAAACTAGGACAGTGGCAGCTATAGAAGAATATTTGTTGGTCTACCCTGTCCCTTTTTTTTTTTGGTTCCAGGGATCGAACTCAGGACCTTACGCTTGCCAGGCAAGCGCTTATGCCCCTAAGCTAAATCCCCAGCCCTACCCTGTCCCTTTTATGTTTTTGACATTTACTGTCCTGTGCTTAGCTCCAAGGCCACTCTTGTTTGAAGTCTCCAAAGGTCTCCTGCTTTTATGGTGGCCAACACCTTTCATATTGTACTGTAAATTTGGGGGTGATTCTAGGGAATCATCAGAAACTCATTACTGAGCTACTCTCCCAGCTTTCTTTATCTGCTTTCTCCCTTAGACTGGAAGTACTTTGAGGGTAGAGAGTACTTTTCTTTCATCTGTGTCCCCAGTTAACTTAATGCCTAGGGTAAAGCTATACCCACTCAAAAGTAATTTGAGTAAATTAGTGAATGAGAAGGACCAAGGGATGGAAGGAAGGGAGAAGAAAGAGAAGTGAAGAGGCTCAAAGTGTGTTATATACGTAGGTTCGCTTCCCATGACGAATATAATTCTTATGTTCTGCAAGTGTATACTGACAAATTTTAAAAATTAGTGAATGAGGTATAATCATGCCTTCATGGTATTGAGAATGTTTAGAGGAAAAGCACTGTCCAGGATAAAAATTTCCAGCCTTTAAAAAGTGGGGTGCTCTGATATGTTTAAGATTGGGAGTAAGGAAGGAAAAGTTTTTAGCAGGTGGAAAAGTAAGGTCAGCTTGAATTTAAGTTTAATTGAAAGTGATCTTTAGATTAAATACTGTTAAGGTTGGAAATGGCTAAACAGCTCATTTGTTTCAACTTGAGAGTTCTCTTTTTTTTAATGTTTTCTTTCTTAGCACTCACATTAAGGTGATGAATAATAACTGGTGCAAGAAAACTGAAACGGAGCCGTGAGATTTTACCTTAGGGCGTTGGTGATGGAAGTTCTGTCCTTGCTCACCTTGCCACCTTTCCCTGTTGTCTAAACTTAACCATCCTGTCTTCCTAGTGTTTAATGCCTGAGTACTTTGAACCCCAGATAGAAGATGTAAGTGAAGCTGCCCTGAAGGAGCGAATCAGTCTCAGAAAAGTCAAAGCTTCTGTGGACATGTTTGATCAGCTCTTGCAAGCAGGTGACTCATTTTGATTAAAGCCTCTCTCCTCATAGGCCACAGTTACATGATCCAGAAAATACTACTGTGCTTGTGAACTGCAGTTTCTATTAAATTTAGTCAGCAATCTTTTGTGTCTTGCTCTGCTTCTGTTTTAAAAATTACAAGTGAGATTGAATTGCATTTGTGGATTGCATTGAGTATAGCTCAGTGTCATAGCATTTGCCTAACATGTGAGAGGCCTTAAATTTGATCACTGTGTCAATAAAAAAAAGTTGCATCTTAGGTAGTTGATGGCTCTGGCATTGATTTGTTCTGTGGCCTTTTAAAAAGTCACTTAATTTCTCCGCCTCTGGCTCTGAAATCCTGTGTACTCTTGAGTTAGATCTGGCTGACCCTCCAGGGATAAACATCTAAATAGCACGGCTGATTCACTGCTATGAGAATGTTCATTAAAAAAACAGAGTCAGCTGGAATTATTTAAATTTTGAAATTTGGAATATGTTTTGTGATTTGGGATGAAAATCTGATAAACATGCAAATGATGAAACTGGACTAGACCACTGAATGTATGCTTGAACACATTTGCATAAAGTTGCATTTGAGAATTTCACTGTGTAGCTGTTACAGCCTCAGTTGTACAACTGAGTCACGACAACAGATTATCAAATGTGTTCAAAGTCTGGTATCAGTCTACATTATAGTTCTTAATCCCATATATCATTTTACAGTTTTTACCTGCAGTGATTTTGTTTTGTGCTGTTATCCAGTGAATATTTTTTAAAGTGTGGCAGAACCCTAGCTTGGGACAGTGAGCCAGCTCACTAGGGGAGGCATGCTGGAGAGGTACATTAGCAAGTACCTGGTAAGAGCCACGTGCCTTGCTAGCCACTTCACACTATATAAGTTGATGTTTTTCGTAATCATTTTGTAAGGGAAACTGACTCTGGGCCATTTTTTTAAACTTGCACAGCTCTGAGATGTAAGATTCAGTTGTGTCCTGAATTACTCTGCTTTCCTTCTTTTCTGGGCTTTCCTTAAAGAAACTTAAAAGTTTTCTGATGAGCACTTTTACTATCAGTGTGTTTTGTTGAGAAGGATTCAATTGATTCTTTTAAAGTAATAAATTGTGTTTCTTATCTTCTTTTGACCCTCTGTCCTTTTAATGAGTGCCAAGATGGGAGCTTTTTTGGGGGGTGGTGGGATACAGAGTCTCACTGGGTTGCTCAGCTGGCCTTGAACTCACAGTAATCCTTCTGCCACAGCTTCCTGAGTGCTGGGATTACGGACCCACCTGGAGCATGTTTTGAACAGCAGGGCTTTTTTTTGTTGTTGTTTTCTAGTGCTGCAGCTTGAAGTGAACAATAGCTTTTAAAGGTTACTATAATTAAGCAAGTATGCCAGTGTTTTTAGACAAGATTTAGTGGTGGTCTGGATCCAAGTGAAAGATTGTGTTTATTCACACGATCTAGGCAAGGGAAACTTAAGTCAAAATAGTTTGCAGAATAGTTGTTTTGCAGTTGATGGTTAAAACCTTGAGGTTGTTTCTCTAAGGATAGGAGTACATAAAATAAATGAGTCAAACATCATGTTACATTTTAATCTTTTCTGTTAAACTACTGTGTCAAAGTATACCGTGAAGATTTGTCCCGGTCCTTGTTGCTTTTGTATTTGGGTTGATGTGGAGTGCATGGTCATTAACAAAATGGTAAATGATGTTAAATATGTAGCCAGAATGCCACCTGAAAAAGTGAAGGATTTTTAATTTAACCGGCTTTGGTTGTTGACAGTTTGAAGATTTTTTCTTTCTTCTACCCATAGGAACCCCTGTCTCTCTTGAAACAACTAATAGTCTCTTGGATTTGTTGTGTTACTATGGTGACCAAGAGCCCCCAAATGAATATCATTTTCAACAAACCGAGCAGTCAGAAGACTTGGTAATGACTTTCGGCTTTTTTGAGTTTAATACCTTTTCAAAACAGAACATGTCCTTGTGCTGTGTGTCATTGTGAGACAGCTGTAATGAAATGCAATACAGTAGCCGTTATAAAAAGTGGTGCTGGAGGAAGAGAGCTTTAAACAGTTACTTTAACCATAGTCTTGTTATTAGAATATTTTGTCCTAACCTGTCATGTATTTATGTAAAACTTTGACCAGAGTTTGGAGCAACCCTTCTGTCATGGTGACAGTGTAATTGTAATAGTCGTATACAGAAAGACTTCAGGGCTGGACCTCTTCAGAAATTCTTACATACATGTGTGTAGGGAGGAGGGAACATACCAGGCTGGAGACACTGTGCTGGAATATGGAGTCATATCGTATGTCTCAAAACTGAAGAATTTTATTTATAGACTAGATTACAGGGAATCCTTTGAGTTGGGTGAATGGAGATACATGTAGCATTTTTATAATGCGGATTTTTTACTTATAGTTATGAAGATACTGAAAACTGTAGATGTCCAGTGGTTGATGATCAAATTATGGCAAGATGTTTTGAGTAGCCATTGAGAACACTAGGTATATATCTGTCTGACTATAGAGAGATTCCATTGTATAATGGGAAGCAGTCTGTACAACAGCACCCACCTTGACCATCCTTGATCTGAAATCCCTCATAAAAATTTTTGAAATCAGATTCCTCAAATATTCAAGCTTTTTGAGCACCATTAGTGGAAAATTCCACATGATATCATGCGATTGTTCACCATCAAAATTTAGACACTGGAAATACTGTATATTGTGTCCGAGGTGTGTGAAACATGAGTTTCCCATTTCCAAGATATCTCATGTATCTACATGTTTCAGAATCAAAAGCCTGAAGCACTCATTTCAGATAAGGAATACAACTTGTGTATATTCCACTTTTGTTCTTAAAAAAAAACCACAGCTTTTTATGTGTATAAGAAAAAAGTCATTAAAAGTACCTCTTAGGCTTGGTGACATGTACAAAATTGCCACATTCTGGGATACTGAGGCAGAGGGACCACAAGTTTAGGCTTAGTCTGGGCATTTTAGCAACTTCGCAAGACCCTGTCTCAGAAAGGGGCTGGGGCTGTATCTCAGTGTACTGCCAAAAAGAAGAAAAGATTCTTTTTTTAGATGCTATTTTTAGATTGATATTTTTCTTCTATTTTTTCCCCACTAACATGGGCTGTTTATACACAGAGTAATGTAAGTCTTCTAAAGTGCATGTGCAGTGGTCGTAAGTCATCTCCCTTTCCAGAGCATCTCCTGAAGCTGCTCCCAGCCTGCTCTCTGCCCCTCCAGCTGCAGCACCTGAGGCAGCAGGCTGGAGCCAGCTCTGGTCTCTGCAGTGCCAGCCAGGTCTGCAGGGTGGCCTCATCCCAGAGCCTGACTTGTAAATCAAAGAACAGGGCTTAGTGTTAAAAAGAAGTCTTAACTTATTTTTCTCAGTGTTTTTTTGCTTTGTAAAAGTAGTCTAACTGGAGAACGTGTTCCGTTGTCTTTTCTTCTCTTTCTCATGATAATCCAGGAAGAGTCCTCAGAGGAAAATAATGAAAAATCTAAAGGGAAGACTGCTCATCAGTTGTCCTGTACTTGGAAGTAAGTTACACATAATTAGAGCTTTGCGTTAGTGTTGTTCAATGTGCAGAATAGGCCCCACCACCTCCTAAAGGAGATGTGCTCCTGTAATGTTCTGAAATAGAACTTGCATTGGGGCATCTGTATTCCAACACTCAACAGGTTGACACAGGAAGGTTGCAGCAAGCTAGAGGTCAGCCTGGAACCCTATTGAAACCCTGTCTCAAAAAGTAAACAAAAAATAGTGCTTGCTTTTATTCTGGAATATAAATTTCACTATATGATTTGGACCTTTCATCATGAAGTCTTTTTTTTTTCTTCTTTTGTCTTTGTCTTTTTGAGACAGGGTCTCACTATGCAATTCAGGTTGAATTTGGGCTCACTTTGTAGCCCAGGCTGGTATCAAACTTGAAAAGATCCTTCTGCCTCAGCCTCTTGAGTGCTGGAATTACAGGTGTGAGCCACCACACCCAGCTGAATTCTTTTTTTGTTTTTTTCCTTTTTGTTGTCATAAAGTCTTTACCTTCATTCAACAGTACAAAACTTTTTTTAGGGTTCACATAATTTGTTTTTACTTTTTTAACTTGGTGTATCCTTTGCGTGGTATGACCTTTGATAATTCGATCACTAGTGTTACCTTGAAATACATACTCTTAATTCTGAAATTTTTGATAATTTACTAAAAATAGACATTGGACTGTGCTTCCAAATTAAGACGATTAGTTTGGGAATGTAGCTCAGTTGGGAAAGTTGCCTAATATGCAAGAGGTCCTGGGTTCAGACATCAGCACTGAGGAAAAAAAAGACTTGATAAGAAAAATTTGGTAGTTCTGAACAAATGATTAAATACATTGACAATTTAACTGAGTAGGAGTATCTAAATAGTAAAAACAAATACTTCAAGTGCATTTAGAGAAGGAAAATACGTTAATATCTAAAACTCATTTTGAAGGCATGAATGTCATGGAAGGGTACATTAAATATCTTGGTTGATTGTAGTAATTCTGAACAGTAGTTAAGGGCATGTGTGGGCTTTGGAGTAGGTTTTTTTTTTTTTTTTTTTTTATAAGAGAGATACATGCACTTAGGCTAGAATATGAGAGGAAGAGTTTAGAAAGAACTGTTCCTAGCAGCTGCCTCTGTGGAGTTCTGTCTAAGGATTTGTACCATTTGCATTTTGTTATTACTGTGAGAATTTATTGCTTGTTCATAAGCTTTTGCTTATTCAAAAGCATATTGCTTTTATTTCTATGTCTCCTATTTGCAATACTGCCGGCAACTTAGTCTTTTAACCTTGATCTTTCCCATTTTCAAGATAACGATAACCATATCTCCCTCTCTGCACAGTAAGAGTTACCTGAGATTCTGTGCCTAAAGTGCTTGACAGATTGCCAGGAGTGTTGGAAACTCAGGCTGTTTATTGGTTTTCCCTATTTCTGTGGTTCATGTTTATTCTATTAATATCTAGGGCAAATAACAATGCTGAACGAATCTTTGCTTTAATGCCAGAGAAGAATGAACATTCCTACTGCACAATGATCCGGGGAATGGTGAAGGTATACTTGTTTTACTTTCTATTATACTTAAGGTCCACTAAATCAGAGTTTTTCAACCTCACAGCGATTAAGTTGAGTGCCCTGTCACAAAAACACTTGGAACCAGAAGTAGGTTTCAGATTAAGGATTTGGGGTATTTGCGTATATATAATGAGAGGTGTAGGCAACTTTCAACATAAAACATGTTTAAATTTCATATACATTACACATCAAGCAAAAATAATTTTATATCATAAGGCACGTGTGGAGTTTTTCCACTTGGCAGCATTGTATCATTGCTCAGTACTTTCACACTTCGTACCATTTCAGATCTTACAATTTTTGGATTAGGAATGTTCAGCCTTTACAAATCTGTTGTGTCCAATGAATTGTTGGGAGATTGGCCTGTGCATTTAGAGTGTTTTAGTAGCTTGCTGGCTTCTTCTCTGAGTGTGAGTGGTACTCTCCTCCCTCACCCTCAGTTGTGACCACTATACATATCTTCGTTTATATCTCCCAGTACCTCCTGGTAGAAAACCACTGCACCAGAAAATAAGCTGAGAGTGGGGGCCTGGTCTGTTTTGTTTACTGCTATATTCCCGTCCTTGGCCCTGTAGGTTGTGTATACCTTGCTGTGATGAATAAATTTGATGTTGATTGTTTTTCCTTCCCCTCTTCAGCATCGAGCCTTTGCACAGGCACTCAGCATGTACACTGAATTATTAAATAACAGACTCCATGGTGAGTTTGAGATGTCTTCTTTATCCCTCTTTTTTGTCTCAAGAGTAGAAAGTTTTGGGTCTTGTCTTAGTCATTGGCCACATTTTGATTTTTCTTCTTTTATAGCTGATGTACACACTTTTAATGCATTGATCGAAGCAACAGCATTGATAATGAGTGAGAAATATGAGGAAAGATGGAATAATATATTGGTAAGGAGGAACCCTCATTTGTCTTCTTGGTAGACCTTAACTCTCCTTTGTGCAGAATGGAGATAGCATACATTGAGCATCTGGATGGCAGTTACTGCTCGCAGATAGCAGTTAACCTGTTTACTGACTTTCAGCAGCTGTGTCTGATCCCTGAGAAGAGGGTGCCTGACCTAGAGTCTACTGTTAGAATTCAGGAAGACCTGGGTTACTTTTTTCATTCTGTGTCATGGGGTTTTTTACAACCCGACCAATTTCTGTCGGGTAAGTTAAATTGAAGTCACTAGATTGATTGTTGTCTAGTAACTTAGGAATATAAATACGTTTTTACAACACACTGGTTTAGTATTACACATTTTATTTTTTCCTTTGTTTAGAAAATATGTAGAAACCTGTAGACAGGCACCTTAATTAGGTGGTATGAATAGCTTAGACTTCTCAAGCAGAATCACTGGTCTTGCTAATTAGCAGATAATTCTTGAATTAGGAATACACTGTAGTTATCACCCTGCTTCAAACATAGCTAGAAAGCTAAATTTTTCTTCTTGTACATGAAATAAAGTTTTGGTAAATTAACTTCCAATGAATAAAAAATACTTCTTGCTTTTGATTCACCTAGAGTCTGCTAAAAGATATGGTTGCACAGAAGGTGAAACCAAATTTACAGACTTTTAATACTATTCTAAAAAACCTGCGAAGATTTTATGCGTTTGGGAAATTGCCAGCCTTACAGACCTTACGTGAAATGAAAGCCTTTGGAATAGGTAAGGGTGCATCTCAGAGACCTCAGAAAGACAAGAGACTGCTGATCAAAGATTTCAGGACAATATAAACACTGAAGATGCTTGTGTGTATGCTGTAGTATGCTTTCCACTGTTTGGCACAGTTAGTTACATGTACAGTTGACTCTTTGTGTCCATGGATTCCACCACAGATCAAAAGTATTTGGAAAAAACAGTTTTTGTCAGTTTCTGAATGATATTATATGCCAAGTGTATGCATAGCATTTGTATTAGGTATTACAGGTAATCTGAAGATGATTTTTAAGTAGGTGATACGAGTTATATGCTACTTTAAAGACTTGAGAATGTGAAGATTTCTAGAAGCCAGGGATAATTACACTTGCTGTCGTGGAGAGCACTTTTATCATCTTCATGTTGTTTACAGCAAATTGCAATGTTATTTAAGTATTTTACATCCTTTTTGTAAATCTTGATTCTGTAAAAGTGCTGTGTGCTAACCAGTTATGCCCCTGGAGTTCCAGATCTTGATCCTGAAGACAGTTGATCCCTTTCGGTTAGATGTTTTAAAGTTCCATGACATGTTTCTGACATAGCTATGTATTTCAACCCAAACGTGTGTCTGTTTCAATACTTAGTTATTTAGAAGGTTGCTTGGAGATAAGTTCACTTCATTACGCTTTATTGTTTTCAATGAAGAGAACCATATAATAACATTATTTACAATAACAAGATGGCTGCAAATGTCTGTTTTGAGGAATACAAATACATCTTTTGCTTAAATATGAATATCAGTATTTTATAGTTCAGTGTGCCTCAGCTGAATTTTGGGTAGCTGTATTTTTAATTTGTTATTTTTTTCTATTCATCTGGTAATTTGAGAACCCTCACTTGCAACATATCATCATCTTATCCACGTGTTTTATCAGCATGGTGAGTATCATTTTAATTTATGTTTTAATTTTTGTAGAAAATTGACCTCCTTTGAATTTGTATGATTTTTTGCAGGTTATCTTATCTGCATCTGAATTAAGAATGGAAAATTCTCAACTAACATTTGCAACCTGAGCAAAAAGTTATCCTTGAGTGTTGTGGCCCTGTTTGTGATGGAAAAGATGAGCTGGAGAGGAGAGAGTTACTAAATGTACTGGAATTGCTGGGCAAATAAGAATGGACACAAGTGTTTTAGTTTGCAGTTATTTTGGTCTCTTGAGCTCTGTTGTCCACTACAGGAGCCACTAACTGCATGTAAACATGCATGAGTAAAACAAAGACATTGTGATGTTAGAGCCCAGCAGCGCTGTGTGGCTACATATTCAGTGATGTAGATACAGGACATTTCCGTCTTTGTAGAAAGCTAGTGGACAGAGTTGCTCCAGTAAAAGTTTGAAGCCTCTGGGAGGAGGACCTTTAGACCATGTTTGTCTCCTACCTATAGGTCAGTTAGTTCCTATGGGAGCTGTGGACTTTGGAGCCAGGCGCATCTGAGGTGACATTTCCGCTCTGCCCACTACCAGTTATGTTATAAGGGACTGGGATGGGTGTGGTGCTGAAATGAATTACACAGTCTTGAGTTATGCTTGGAAGGCATGTACAGCAGTAGGCACTTAAGAACCTTGTTCATTTGCCTCCAATCTGAGAAAAAAATAAAACCCTGAGTGATACAGTAGAACTTACTCCTTCCTGTGCTAGGTTTTATAAAAACGATAGTAGGGAAGCCCAGTTCTCTGATTTAGAGGGCTAAATTTGCAAGAGCCGCACCTTCACCTATACTCATTTGCTTTAAAAAAAAATCCAGTGTTGACTATCTTGATAATAGATAAATGACTTCCACAGCAATTATATTCTGTAAATTTTTATGCTTTTAAACATGGTGGGATTGTAGCCACGCTGGTGTTTCTGAGCAGAATGTGTTGCTTTTCTCTGTGCCGTTACGTTGCTACTTTGGTTCAGTTGTTAAACAGGCAGAGCACATTAGCCATCCTAAGTAGCAGCTATGACAGTGGTGGCTGGGAGGCAGAGGAGTTCCAGTTTCTTTGTATCAGTTGACTGTTGGCAGTGATAATTTCTAAAATTTCTCCCAAAGGAGAGTGCCTACAATAACAAAGAAATGCATATATAATAGAATTTAATGAATCTAATATAATAGGCAGTTAGAAAACATACATGCTTCAGGAAATTATAACAAGATAATCTGCAGTTACTACAACCATCTTATCACTAAGGTTTAGAAAAAGGCAGGTAAAGGAAGTTAATATTTGGCTAGATACACTGTATATGATTTTTCTGGACCTGTTAGTACTCAGCTCATACAGTTCCCTTTTTCTAAGTATGTGGGTTTCTGAGGACTGAGTATGTGTCATGTGCTGCTGTTTGCCCCTACTCCAGTGAAAGTCAAGCTTCTCCTGAAGAAACAGCAGGGGACTGGGATACATGGACAGAGCCCTGTGAGTGCTCAGCTCTTAGAGTGGCACTGTGGCGTACAGTGCTTCCTTTAATAAGTACCGCCCCTGCTCAACACTCTGCCAGCCCTTAGTCTCAGGAGGTATGAGTTTCACTAGGTGTTGTGAATTTGGTAGTGGTGCAAGAAGTGGACCCCTGGTAAACCCCTTTTGCTTTTCTTATTCTACAGGAAGCCCTGTAAAGGGGCATTCTCTCCTCCTCATCTATAGTATAATGAAAGAACTAGAGGGAAAGAAATTTTCTCCATTGGACCTGGATGATGGTATGTACAGAAATTGCTTGAGTTTTTCTCATTAAAAGACCAAGACCATTTGTCTGACTGAGTACCAGCAATTAGAGCTCTGGCAGTGAGAAGGGTTTACTTATCTTAGCAATCTTTTGGGTGGTTAGTATGAAGACAAAATTTCTGTCTTATTTTTATTTCTTTAGCTTTATTCCTTGTTGTTAAAAAAGGTTACCTATTCAGTTTGCAGGGTTTGTTTGTTTGTTTGTTTTTTCATATACATTGTATTTCAAAAGAAAAACAAAAGAAAAAACTTAACAGCAAAATTTCAAAACACATCAACCAGGGGGCAACAACAGTACATGCATTATCATCCCCAAATCATTCACCCAGAGCACAAGACATCTACAGCCAATTGTCCGAACAATACCAACACAAATCTTTCTCTTTCGTGAACTTGGAGAAATCAGTAGTATAACTACCTTAACTGTTTTTTGTATACATATACATATATCGTTTCTTTCAGCTTCTCACACTAGTGAGTCAATACGATGTTTACCACATACGTGTTTTTTTTATTTCACTAGTTAGTATGGTCTCAAGTTTCATCCATTTACCTATAAAAGTCTGCAGTTTATCCTTTATGACTGAGTAGTACTCTGTCGTGTAAAAATATAACTTTTTTATCCATTCTTCAGTTGATGGGCATTTAGGTTGTTTCCAAGATTTAGCTGTTACAAATTATGCTGCTGTAAACATGGGTGCACATATATCACTGTGGTACTATGTCTTAGTTCTTTTGGGAAGATATCCAGAAGGGGAATAGCTGGGTTGAACGGGACTGCTAGTCCAAGTGTTTTGAGGAATCTCCACACTGATTTCCACAGTGGTTGTACCAGTCTTTGCAGGGTTTTTATTATAAAACATACTTCACTTTTAATAATATAAACTCTTACCACTTTGATTTCCAGATAAGTTTTTTCAGTCGGCTATGAATGTTGTAAGTATCATTTCTCATTTAATTTCATAGTCTTGATTTTAAAGATAATTTTCATTTCTTGAATTTAACTGTAATTATGTTCTTTGACTTCCTACCTGTTAACTTTTGTTCATGTCTTCACTGTTGGTTTTGCGTGTCTAAAATCTGCTTGTAAATTATGTAACACGCCTGCCCTGCAATTATTATAAACATTGCTTTTTTTATGCTTCTATTCAGAAAGCTTCTGAAGTATTTTACATTTGCTTTTATCTTTTACAAAAAAGATTTTTTTTTTTAAAGACAGAATGTTAGTATGTAGCCTGGTTGGCCTTAAACTCATCCTTTTCCTGATTCAGCTTCCCAAGAACTGGGATTAGAGGTGTGTAGCACAATGCCTGACTGGTTAATTTTAAATTGATAATCATTACTTTTGACTTTGGCTTTTAATTTTATCATAAGAAAAGTATCAGGCTGTTTCAGTATGAATAAAGTAGATCTTGGATAGAAGGATAATTGCTTTGCACTTCCATGTATATTTTCCAGGATTTTTCCTTTCTGCACTGAAAAGTACACACAGTCAGACATCCTTCTGTGGTGATGTAATTGTTGATAAGGATCAGTATTTCACAGGAGGAAAGAACTGTATAGTGTGGGTGATTTGGGGGAGAGAGTTCATGGAGTTAATGTGATACCAGCCTGTGAGCACACCATGTGTTTTTTTGTAGGATTTATTTCTAGAGGTATAATATTAACTCATAATGATTTTGCTGTAAATTTTTAAAGCTTATTTTTTCCCCAGTTCAAACTTCCCCGAGAAACTATATTTTTTATGTAATAAGCCACTGTGCAGCTTTGAAGAGTGTCAGAGTAATGCTACTTGCATATTTTCAGTGCTCATCCCTCAGAGATCTAGACCTTGCTTACCAAGTGCATGGCCTTTTAAACACAGGAGACAACTGGAAATTCATCGGATCTGATTCTCAACGTAATTTCTATTAGTAAGTGTGCTTGGAAACGTATCCTTTTGTTCTAAGTAGTAGATTTTGAAAGTGAAAAGTTTTTGGTGGTTCTCCCTCTCATCCCTTAAACATGCCTTAAGCATGCCTGTTATTTAACAAGTGAGCACATTGAAAGTAAAGAATTAGTAAAATTACTGAACAGGGTAGTGTGTGTGCTTTGAATTTTTTCTTTGTAACTTTAAAATCTCTGTATCTTTTTTTTTTTTTCTTTCCCCTTAATATATTTTCAAATTATTAAGCCAGAGAGAATCCCTAAAGATTTTTTCCCAGTCCCTTGCTTTTTAAAAAGTATTTGAAGATTAGTGTCCATGAGACTAGGAAGTTTGTTCCATCAGTGAGTTTGCATCTAGGCAGATAAAAACGTGAATTTAAGGACATAGCCTGGAAAATGTTATGACGATTGTCTTCTGTGTGTCTGAATCCTTGCTCACACTGTTTTTCATGTGCTTGGGATACTCAGTACCTGCTTGCTAGGACCGGATAAATGGCCTGCTGAAGGGAGGGAAGATATTAATTGTGACGTTAGGCACAGTTAGCCCATCTTGGGTCGAGTATTGGCTTGTGTGAATTAAAATTGTAAATATCAGTACATTCAGTTTCACTAAGCCTAACCTTGTTAGATGTACAGATGTTAAATATGCTTTTTCTCTATATTACAGTACAAAGTTTTTCAGTTTGCTTTGTCTAATGGAACAAATTGATGTCACATTAAAATGGTATAAAGACCTGATGCCTTCGGTAAGCTCGCTCATGACTTCTCATTTATCATTGTACGTGAATTTGGAGTATTCTTCCAGTGATTTAAAACTAGATCTGTGTGTCTCCTAATCAGGTGCTCTTTCCCCATTCCCAAATGCTGATAGACCTTCTCCAAGCTTTGGATGTGGCCAACCGGCTAGAAATGATTCCTCAGATTTGGAAAGGTTAGTGTCAGGCCTGCATTCCTTCAGCATCTGATAGCTTGACTGACTAGTGGGACACAACTTCCTTTTGGGGCTGGGTTAAATACATTAGTTGACATCACTTTGATCACTTGCTCATGTCACGTATAGAACTGTGTGAGTAACACTTTATTGAAAATGACCTGTTTCTCCCTTTGTGACATTTTAGTTAGTTCAGTTTTGTGTAGCTCTTGTGTGATGTGACCCAGGGAAGATTAGTGCTAATTGTGTGGCAGATTCTGAGTGCAGGGCCGTGACCTTAAAGCCCCAGCTGCTCCTCTGTACACTGTTGGATCATTTTGGTCTGTGATAACCATGTTTCTCAGTGACAGCCATGGCATGGACGTGTGTTGATCTGATCTGTGAGTATAAATAAGAGTGCAAGGTGAGACACAGATACTCCAAATGTCTATTAGCTTCTATGAAACTGGAATACAGACCTTCCCTGCACAAGATTGCTCTAAAGACTGTGTGGAAGAGAACACTGAAAAGTTTCCAAATAAGTAGATGGAGCTGGGGGCTGCCGAAATGTCGTACATGGGTTCCCTCTTTTTTTTTTTTTTTAGACAGGTTCTTGCTATGTAGCTCAGGCTAGCCTTAAACTTACTGTGTAATCTAGGCTGCCTTCGAACTTGTGAGAATTCTTCTGCCTCAGCCTTCCAAGTGCTGGAATTACAGGTGTGCACAACCATGCCTGGCAGCAACTTGTTTTTATGAATGAAAACAATAAAGTTAACAACCAACATTGAACAATGCCAAAAGTTTAGCATTTTGGTGATCATTTTTATGTTTCTTTTTTTTTTTTTTTAAGATAGTAAAGAATATGGTCATACATTTCGCAATGACCTAAGAGAAGAAATCCTGATGCTCATGGCAAGGGATAAACACCCACCACAGGTAGGGCTGTTTCATAGTCATTTTTAGATTTGCACTCATCAGTAATCCTCTGACACTGCAGACTTTTTACAGGGTAGTTTTTCTGGCTTAATCTGTCATTGTGGAGGGTTCAGCCTCCAGACCTAGATTTAGGTTATGATACATCTACTAAACATTTAGCTGTACGAATGCACATCCTGAAGTCACTCTGTTTCCTGTGGTTCAAAGCAAACTACAGGAGAATAACTCCTCCCTATGCTGAACATAGCTTGATTTTAAAAAGTTGCCACATGGAAAGAAAATTCATAGTTGCATTTGAAACTAGATATAATCCAATTATTTATCATAGAACAGGGCCTTTTGTTCTTTTTACTCTTTTATAAACCATATACATCACATGTTCATGTGGTGCAATGTTCTCTTCTGAACTTAAATGACCATCATACCAGCTCTGCAGTTCTGCTGACTCTTAGAGCTTCTCAGCTGCAGATGGCGTTTGCTGATTGTGCTGCTGACATCAAATCTACTTATGAAAGCCAAGAAGCCAAACAGGCTGCTCCTAGTTGGCCAGCCAGTGTTCTCAACTGTATAGCCATCCTCTTTTTAAGGGCTGAGAGAGCCCAGGACGCCTGGTGAGTACAGACCATGAGTACACTTCAAAGCATTTCTATGAGTATAAACGCATATATGTTCTCTAATGTCGTTGTAAGATCTGTTATCAAGAGCCAAACTTCAATGCATAGTGAATTTTCAGTGGAACTTAGAAATTATCAGCTAAAACGCAGATTTTTAGAAGAAGGTCATTGTATGTGATGTACAGTGTTTGAAAACAGGGCATGCGTAGTTTAGGTGGGCTGCATGTTGTCTTTCCCGTGTCGTTTCCCTCACTTGTCAGCCCATGGAAATAGAATAAAGTGAGCAAAGAAACATTTTCTTTACTGTGCTGCTTACTGGATTTGTTATTTGAGTACCACTCGCATCTCCACTCCCTAACCTTTAAGTTAGATTTCTTAGAAACCAGCATTTACTAATTGTGGCTTTGACTAGAAGCCATTTTGAGTTTATGCCATTCTGTAAGTTATGTTTTTCATCAATACTTCACTCACATACTATTTTCAGCCATTAGTTTTATGAATGGGAACCTTATGTATATTCATTCGCATAAGAATCAATGAAAGGATACCATAAGGGGGTAGTCACAGTTCTGCTTTTAGTTTGAGTTGGACGGAAATGTGTTGGTTGAGGGGCCTGAGGTGCATAATGCATGGCTTCTTGCCTAATAACTTCACACCTGGCTGTTAAATTGTCTCCAGGTAAAGTGCTGCAACTTGTCTTACTAGTGTGGCTCACTACACATGGCCTGGTTAGCACCTTCACTGCTTCAGAGGAGCGTAGTATTTGCGTATGTTGGTTTGCTCAGGTAGGTTAATTAACACACTTGCTGTGACTCAGGCTGTGATGAATGGCGCAGGGGTACGGACCTCAGCTGAATCATGGGAGCTGAATGTATGTGTTCCGTCTTTGTCCTGCATGTGGCAGGTTGATGGCGGGCACTTACATGAGACTTGCCTCAATCTGAGCCTGCTCTTCATAGCAGAGTTTAGGGACAGACCCACGCTGTTACAGGAGGGAGGAGGCCAGGCTCTGCCTCGTGCTGCTTTCGCCTGCAAAGGGGTGTAGCATGTGCTCCAGTGCTCTGCACTGACCATGTTCACATTTGGCTGTGAAACATGTAACAGTGTGGCCCAGATGGACATCATGCAGCGTTTCCAGTGTGAAAAGGCTGTTTAGTCTCTGAGGCTAGGGAGCACAGCTTCATCTGATGACCTAGTTTTATAGTCATTCTCCTGTCTTCTCTTGCGCAGGAAGATGTTCGGGCTTTTTCGGAAGCATAATAAAATCCCCAGGTAAGTTGAATGTAACAGGCCTCACGTGGTACAGGCTGGAATTAGATGAGCTCAGCTCTTGTGGGCGATTGCATTTTGTTCACATATGTTTGCCACTGAATTTTGGTGCACTGCTTAGGAAGCAAACCCTCTCCCATCCAAGGCCTCCAGAGGCGAGCAGTTTTCACCTGTGATCAGTGATCGTGACACACTGGGCATAGGTAGATCCTTAAAATACCCTGAGTCAATGAATATTCATTATTCCTTTGAGTCTTTAGATGTCATATAATTTGACTCCAAAGCTACTTGAGGGTTTTATTAATGAGACTAGTCTGAATTTTATGTGTAAATCTTTGCTTGGAGGGTTTCTGTTGGAGACTGTTCATGTTTTGCTTTTTTTAAAAAACAGAGGTGAACTGCTGAATGAATTTATGGACAGTGCAAAAGTATGCAACAGTCCTGCCCAGGCCATTGAGGTTGTGAAGCTGGCAAACGCCTTCAGCTTGCCTGTCTGTGAGAATCTCATCCAGAGAGCAATGACGGACTTTGCAATGGACCCAGAACAAAAGTAAGCAGCACTCGAATCTTAACAGTGAAAGAATAGGGCATGTTTTCCTCCCAGTCAGATGCAGATCTCTGCTGTGGTCCATTTTTCCCTTATAAAATGGAGTGGTTTAGTGATTTTTTTTTTTTTTTTTTTTTTTTTTTTTAAATCGGTGCCGGGGACCGAACTCGACTGCCTGCTTGCAAGGCAGGTGCTTATCCTGCTGAGCTAAATCCCCAGCCACAGGTTTAGTGATTAAATGCTCTGAGTCAGGGGCTGTGGGAAATTCCTTCTTTGCATGCAGCCTGATGGGATGAGTGTTGAGACACTGAGGCCCAGCCCCTGACGAGCTACAGTGTAACGTGCAATGACTTTTCCTTACAGGAATGCCCTGGGCAACCTAACTGCATTGGCTAGTGACAGTGATGGTGACAGCGACAGCGACAGTGATAGTGACAGTGACAAATGAAACATTTAACTAGTATACAAAAAAGACAGGATATGGATTTGCTGAATTTGGTACTGTGAAGCAGCAGTGGACACAGCACTGACTTTAGATCCATCTTCTAATATGCTGTTGACTAAACCACTGATCAGTGCATCGCTCAAGAGATACATTTAAGCAGCAGCACTGCCATCTCCACTCTTCGGACATCAGTGCACATCGTGGCACTTACGACGCACCCTCCATATCCATGGCGTGTCCACCCTGCCAGGGGTGGCATGCTGTTGCTCGCCAGCCTTTGTTGGCTTGAATGCTGCTGCTGCTTTGAACTTAAAGGTTTTCTTGAAATTAGTAGTATCTCAAATTGAGGAATATATAGATGTGAATAGTTGTGCATGTTAAGACTTGTTTAAACAGGATAATGGTACTTGTAGGCTGCACTGCTGATAAAATGGAGACTGTAAATAAATGTAATTAATCTATATATGTCCTTTTTTGGGAATTGGAAATTGGTTTTCACTGTGTAGGGCTGGCCTCAAACTCATGGCAGTCCTTCTGCCTCAGCCTCCCAAGTGCTAGGATTACAGTTTGTTATCATGTCCAGCTTCCATTATATCTAATGTTTAATTCTGATAGTCTTTACAGTTCTCTGTAAGCTAGGCACGATGATACACACCTATAATCCCAGCACTGAGGGAGGCTAAGGCAGGAGGGTTTTAAATTGAAGCCTAGTTAGGGACTCTGTCTAAAAAAATGGGCAGGCAGAAGCTGGGGGTGTGATTCAGGGCAAAGGTCAATCCTCGGTACTGCAAAACCAACAACAGCATACTATAAAGTGTGGGCTGTGGATAGTGAAACCTTGAGAGGAACTTTTCTAACAGCAATGGAAGTGAGAGAATGGGAAAAGGAGAAGTTATTTATGGGGAATGTTACGGTTTGTGTTGGGTTTGCATTGGGTTTGCATTGTGTATTTGTGATTGATTCATTGTCTAGCACTTAGATTGATGGTGTCAGTGTTATATCCACCTAGCGGTAGAGCCAACATATAATGTAATGGCAGGAAGAAGATGTGTCTGTCTCTTTTGCTGGTTTCCATTTTGTTGTTTACAGCTACCATAAACTGCAGCCTGCCATGCCACCTTGCCTTGGAGCCAACTAAATATATACTAAAATCTCCAAAAACTATAAAAAATAAACCTTTCCTTTCCAACTTTAGGCATCAGGTATTTTGTTTCAGTGACAAAAGGTAAGACAGGATAAGCTTCAGCGCTACCTCAGACTTCACTTATCAATGTGTAGAACTTTTAAACTATACAACAGAACATTTCAAAACATTAAGAACTCTTTAATGTTTCGCTACAGTTGTATTGGAGTATTCAAGCAAAAAATTTAAAAGGATCAAATGACCTTAAATGGATTTAGAATTAAACTCAAATCTAGCACTTAGGTATTGATAAATGCCGAATGGACTTAATAAATGCTTCAGCCTTTGCAGAGGGTTAAAACCATAATCATATTGTGTTGTCACTGGTTGTGCACCCCTATTCTGTAAAATAAGGTGATTTTTGATTGCAGAGTCTGAAGTCAGTTTCGGTGGGCGGTGATGAGAATTTTTAAGATCAGAAAATCCAAGTAAAAGCCAGACGGTGGTGTATGCCTTTAATCCCAGCTATTCAGGAGATTGAGGCAGGAGGAGTCAAATATAAAGCCACCTGCCGGCAAATAAAAAGGGTTAGGGGTTAACACCTAGTGCAAGGTGCAGGATTCAGTCCTGAGTCCTGAAAAACAAAATACACCACATGCAGTTCTAAATTGAGCATGGGTGTGTACCAAGTGTACCAAATAGTGATGTAAATTTTTTATCGCCGGCCTTGGTCAAAAAGATTTGAAAAGCACTAATACCTGAGGTCTTTTGGAACATAGATGGATAAGACCAGTTTTACAGAATCATTCAGGTTAAACTTGAAAGGTTAAGTGGGATTTTCCCAGGGGAAAGACTGTTGATTTAGCTGGTCTAAGATATGTGCTAGGCTATGACATAAGGTGTGCAGCATCTGGGGAGTGAACTGGTCTGCACTATCATAGGGCAGAGCCCATCAGAAAGTGCTGTCAAGCTGAGCCTGCCTAGCTGTGAATAGAGAGAACTCAGGACTGCTGGGGAATCAAGCCCAAGAGGAGCTCAGAAAGACTGGATTCTTAAAAACTAAGGCAGCCAAGAGTTTGTTTATGACAGAACTTCTTCCCAGCCCAGCCTAAACTTGCTCCTTCCCAGCCCTTTCAACAGAACAAACAAGCTACAGGAGCCTGAGGAGGAGGAGGATCAAGAATTTAGGGGCCTGGGTACATAGCACATTTCAAGGGCGGTAAGAACTACATAGAACCTGTCTCACAAAACGACAAAAACCAGCAAGCTAAAGAAATCACCTTACATAGGTAAGAGCTGTAACAGTAGTGTGCCTGAAGATGACACAATTCGTCGACTCACAAGTATTCCAGGTGCAATCTTTAACAGGTATGCTTAAGAACGTACAGCTTACAAATGGGGAGTGGAGAAAGTGTCAGACTTACTGTATCAAAAATTACGCTTAATGATCTGGGTGTGGTGGTACACATCCGTAATCCCAGCACTTTGGAGGGTGAAGCAGGAAGATTGCCATGAGTTCACAGCCAGCCTAGGCACACAGCAAAACCCTAATCTCAAAACCAAAAAGACTTCATTTGTTAACTTGGTTTTGCAGCTTTAAATACTAAAGCTTAGGGTTTGTTTTAGAATGTGGTACTTATTTTTTGAGACAGTCTTGCTGTGCAGTTCAGGCTGGCTACAAACTTGAAGTGATGCTCCTGCCTCTGCTTCCTGAGTACTGGGATTGCAGGTGTGTGCCACTGCCTGGCAACAGCAATTGGTGGGAGGCAGGAATATAATCTTAATTCAAGGCTGAAACACTGAGACATGGGAAGCAAGAGAAGTGACCCTTAGCTTTATGAGATCTTTAACATAGTAAGTGGGAGTGGTGTGACATGCTATGTGAAGCTGGCCTGCTCCAGCTGCCTACAGCTGTACCCATCTCCCTAAGCCTTCAGATTCCATCCCTTGTACAATGGAGAATCCAGGCAAGCCTCACCTCAGAAAGCTGTGTGGGGCCCGAGGAAAAACAGACTAGACTGGCTCAGCAGGGCCCCCTTTTCAATACTGTATCACTTCCCAGTAAGCAATGGAAGTAGGCAGCTTTGTACTAAGATCTGAAAGCCAGTGGTCATTTTTATGGAATGAGGAGCTGGAATCAGGTCGCTTACTTGATCTGAAGATCCTTACAATCTATTTTTTTTCTGAGTAAAATTGGAATTTTAAGCACTTCTCTGCTTAGTCTTTCTATGCCTTATAAGTTCAAGTATTCTACCATTTCATGCCATTCCAAAGAGGAAGACTTAATTTAGAACTGCCCATTCTCTCCTCATGAAAGCATCATTCCCAAGAAGAGCCCCAGAGTGCCACTACCTTCAGAAACCAAGGCATTTCCCAAAGCAGGGAAGCTACATGTGGTAGGGAACATAAAGGATGCTACCATCACGCCAATGATAAGACTAATGTGGGGCTGCAGGGATTTAGCTCTGCAGCATAAGCGCTTGCCTGGCAAATGTGAGGTCATGAGTTTGATCCCCAGAAAAAAAAAAAAGCTAATGTATCCCCAAACGAAAGTACAAGGTCTATAGCATGCAAGTACCTACATCTAAGAAAGAGACTACCTGGAGAAATAATGTCCTTGTGATTTACACATAAGTTGTCAGATAAAAGCACCTCCTTCATAATCTTAGGCACATAAACCCCAACAAGAAATTGTTAATTCTGTAAAATAAAGTTCTCAGTGTTTTTATAAAGAAGAATTGTTCAGGGAGTAAAAATTAAGTCAAAAGATAGGAAATATAGTTTATCCAGTATGATCCTCTGGGTTCTTAGGGAAGTACATGTGAAGTATACAAAGTTATTTAACCCATTCGCTAGGATTCCATGCTCACTGCCTCCACTCAAGTGAATTTTATAACTCAAATACTGGAAAACAGTGCAACACTAGTAGGGATGACAAGCAGTGGTATGAGCACTGCTTCGTGCAGATGCACAGGTGTGCATACTGGATCCCAACAAAACGCCCTGCTCCTGTGGAGCACAATCTAGTTTGGGAAGCATACATTTTCTTATGCTGACCACTGGAATAATCAGTCTTCAGGTATAAATATCCTAGGGCCAGGGATTTAGCTCAGTGGCACAAACACCTGCCTGGCAAGTGCAAGGCTGTGATCCTTGGTTCAAAAACAAAAATTATAAATATCCTGGCATTTTGGCTCAAACATCAATCACTCTTGAGTTTGACTAGCAAGAATCAATTCACCAAAGCCAAGAAGCAGGTCTCAAACTTCTGCTAATCCCCAGTTCACAGCCTGAGAACACCAGAGTTCTTAAGAGACTTCTGCTGCTGCTCAAAGAAGCTTTCTGCATATACAGTGAAGTAGAAATGGCACTTTTTAAAAAGGGATAACACTGATTTCATCATGTTCCTTTATTCAGTCTGCTCCAAGAGCAGAACCAGTAGTAAGGATCACAAACATTATTTTGAGTGGCTCACAAACCTGATCAGTAAAACCTGAAAAACAGGAAATGTCTCACAAGTTGCAAAGAAAACACTCCTGGAGTTCACTGACATGACAGCAAGTGGGACGATGAATGCAACGGGTGTTAACATTTAGCACAAGATTTGGAACCTGCTCACTTCTGGACAATTCTGGGATCCTTGTAACAAACCCTTCATATGTCACTGCTGACTCCTCTGACGGGAGATGACATTACACCTCTCCTGGACCTTACTCTTGCTGCACCTGCGTGGTTCCTATTCCTACAGCACTAGCGTATGCTGTCAGGATGTCCACTATCTGTTTAGTTTCTAGGGTCATTCGGGCTTCCTTCAGCCAGTCCTGTGCCACGCGTCTGGACTCCCCTTTCAGTTGATTGACAAACTTTGCTGCCAGCTCCAGGTCACCATGCTCAATGCAATAGGAGGCATAGGAGAGTAACTTAAATGTGTTGATATCCTCAGGGTATAGCTCTGCTGGTGGCTTCAGTTGCTGAGGTGGGAATAGCAGCAGTGACTGCAAGTAGGACAGGAAGTACTGGTACAAGCTATTTCTGGTTTCATCGATCATCGCTACCCGTCGGGCTAGTTTTTGGACAGCATAGAAACGAGCCCTCAGGGTCTCTTCACTGTACACTCCCCGAGTCAGGGACTCTGGAGGGAGAGCTGCGGTTAATGCTTGGGCAAACTCATTCTCAGCACAGCTGGCCCTGATGGCCTCAACTGCACCCCCTAAAGGGACAGTGGGTGAATCTGCAGATGAGGTCTTCATGCTGTATTTTAGAGCCTCCACTGAAAGCCAGAGCTGGTGGGCTTTTCTGGCTTCTTCCTCCGCAACTGCGTGACCTATGAAGAAAGCAAGGATTAAACAACGTTTTTTTCTCTCCACCTGACCACTTGTATTCACAGAAGTGAAGCACATTCAACAAGCGGAATCCTCATGAGGAAGACGCGGCTAGAGAGAGCCTCCTACAATCCGCCCCACCCCTTATTTCTTGTGTTCTTTCTACTGGTCTCTAACACTGAGGCAAGCCATACTTTGATGAAGCTTTGCTTTCACTGACCTAACAGAGAAAGCTGGGAGGATACACGCGCACAAACACAGAAGTCTCCTTTCTTCCTATGATACTCGGGACAATGCATGCCCAAATACAGTTCATAGAAGTTACTCCCAGTTGCAGGACCTCTAACTCAGATGTTGAGAAGAAAACATGTTACACAAATCTGGCTAAAATTTATGTTAAAGCCACTAAAATTTTCTGAAAAAAGAAAAAAAAGGGAACACTTCAAAGAAGTACTGTGCTAGATTGAGTTGAACTTCCTGAGTACCTATATTGTTCTTATTTAATTTTACTGTTCTGATAAAACACTCCTTAACATGCCAAAGGGACCTGTTTTATCAACATAGCCATTGTCACAGGACTGTCCCTTTCCATGTGATACAGAGGCCTCAGCATAACTACCATCCACTTGGAGGGTAGATTCAGCAAATTGTCAACTCTAGATAAAATTCCAGTGCATGGGGAGGGAAACACACAGACACACACCAGACCCAGGAAAAGCATACGGAGTAGACTGCCTTGAAAAA